GACGCTCACCCGCTTCGGCGCAGACGTACGGGGAGAAGGCGAAGGCAATTCGCTGCTCGTCTGATCCCCTAGTGAGGCCAGCGGACTCTAGACAGGCACTCCGGAGCCTGCATTGCACGGCCTCACTCGTCTGGTGGGCGGGTCGGAGGACAACTGACCTGCCACTCCGTTGGCGCGGGAGCCCTGGCGCAAACTAGGGCGGCCGGGCGACGTCGTGGTGAATGTGCACAGACCCCACGGCGCCGACACAACCGGCGGGAGGTAAACCCGGGGGGGTTTTAGTGGGGTAGGCCCTCCAGTCTGGAGGGAGAGTCCCCACATAACCCCTGAGTCTCCCTGGGCTCAGGGATATCTATAAAGATTCCCCCCGTAAAAAAAAGGGCTTTGGCGCGCAGTTGCCGTTGGCTCAACGCCGCGGAAGCTCATAATGACCACGCACGGCCTGGTTCGAAAATGTTGAGCAAAAATTAATTTTATTAAACGTTAATATGAGTCTCACATCAATTTTCTATTTACATCACATTAAATGAAGTAACAATCTCGACGCATCAAGAAAGAGAAATACTTTTTTTTGTAATATCAAGTGACGGGACGAACAAGTCGTGCGCCTAATGGTAAGCGACACGCCTGCCCATAATAGTTGAAAAACCACTCAGTGCTTTGAATCATAAAGTTCTGAGGAGAACTGCATCTGCGCCCGTCATCCTGAGAAATAAGTTGACAAGTCCCGTGTATCTGTAATTTTACCCTTACCCTTAAAAACCAGAACACAGTGATGTTGACATTACTGCTTGGCGGCAGAAATAGATAAGGTGGCAGTACTGCCCTGGGTGAACTCTTTCACAAGGAGCTCTACTGCTACTCAATTATGTAACAATTACTTAGTATAATTTTCCTCCCACTCTATTCAATATAATTTCCTCCCACTTATAGGTAGCGGTTTCTTTCAGGGAAAGATTATTATTGTTAGTCAAATCATCAAATCAAATCAAATCATTTATTTCTTTGTGATACACAGGTTATAAAGATGTTAGAAGAATGAATTTTGAATCACTGTCACACTCCGCTTTATGGCATACAAAGTTTTCTTAGTTTAAGTAATTCTCGTGCAATAATTTGTAATAATATTGTAATCATGCAGTCCAATTAATGCAACTTAATACTAATGAAACATAATAACAATAGTAAAATAATCAATAATAAATGTAATAATATGAAATGTAAATTTTATAAGAAATCTTCAATATTATAGAATGTCCTATCATTTAGGTAATTAAATAATAATTTCTTAAATTCTGTGGAAGTGGAATTTCAAGTGGAAGTTTGTTATATATCTTCGTAGCCATTACTATTACACTCTTTTGAAGTAGAGCAGTTTTACATGATCTACTTTTCAGTTGATGAGAACGGCGAGCTCGTGTGACGAATTCAAATAAATGAAGATGACGCTTTACGAAAAGTGAAATTTCAAGTATATATAAGCATGGTAGAGTCAGTATTCTCAAATTTTCAAAATGTGGTTGACAGCTATCTGTTTTTCTCAAGCCCGAATACATCTCTTTTGGGCTTTGAATATGCGTTCAATGTGCGGTGCATTTCCCTAAAAAATGATTCCATACCTAAGGCTGGTTGCTACATGGTAGGCGGTCACTAGAGCGTTTAAATTTACTATTTTCGATAGCCTCAACAATGCATAATAAAACTTTAGTATCTTACCACATACATATTCTAGGTGTGATTGCCATTCTAGATTATTATCTATATATAAACCTAAGAACTTTACTGTCATTGTTTCACCGACCTCTTTCCTTTCATAGACCACTCTAGTTTGCATAGGTTTATTGTATCTTTGTTTAAAGTTCATAACTTTAGTTTTGTCAAGATTTATAACTAGATCATTATATTTAAGCCATTCAATAATAGAGTTCAAACTTGTATTTATATTTGTTTCATTGTCATTAGTTAAGGAAAGGAACTCACCCGCAATCGTGTACTTGAGTTGAGATACAATTGTAAACTCTTTTGCAAAATAAATGGGCACCTAAAAGTTTTTCTCACAAATATTCAAATCTAAATAAAGAGGCTATAAAAGCCATAAAGATAATTGGAAATATTTCGTCTACGTATTAAAGAGTATTGGCAGGTAAGATAAAACGATCTAAATTTGAAAAGTATAATTAATTTAAACAATATTCGATTGGAATAATTAGCATTGCGTGGTTAGGTGTGGTGATCTTAAAAATTTACTTTCAAAGTAATTTTAATTTACTGGTATTGATGTCCAATTTTTAAAATTAGTTAGTTATTCGTAACGAATTTTATACCGTTCTATGGCAGAGAAGACAATAATCGCTGGTTATACGCTATTTTTAGTAGCAGTAGAGTTCCTTTTGAAAGAATTCATCCTGGGAAGCCACTTCCTGCTACTTTCCTACTTCTGCCGTCACGCAGTAATATAAACATTCCGGTTTTGAAGGGTAAGGGGGTGCTGACGAAATTACAGGCACATGGGACTTATCAACTTATGTCTCAGGGTGACGGGCGCAGTGGCAGTATGATCAAATGGAAATATTTAAATCAGGAAAACCCTCATTCTCTTGTGATAATACCCTCATTCGCTTGTGAAAGCCATATATCTGTCGAAGAATCGATAACTGATTAAGGAAACGAGTTCTTGAGCGGACACCACGGCTCGGCAAATGTAGTGTAGAGCGCCCTTTGGCAAGATGGAGTGACGATCTGCGAAAGGCTGCTGGCAGCATATGAATGCAACAAACTAAGGACTGGGCGACATGGCGCACATTAGGTAAGCATAGGCCTTAGGTAAGCATATTCCAGCAGTGATAGGTTGATAATAATCTCGCCAAGACGAAACCACACTCAATACTGCAGTGTATGATTTGAATTGAATGTGGTGACGAGGAAATTATTTGTGAGTTTGTTCTGTTCAATTCAATCTCTGTTAATGCACAATAACAGAAAGTGTTTTTCAAAAGTGTTGCATATCATTTTTTATTTGCACTTGTTTAAAATTTAGTGAAACCGAATTATATATCCTATGGAAGCATGATTGCAGGGGTTTGAAGATGTATGTATGCAACCTGGCTTACCTGCGGCATTATGCGTGACCGCCATTTTGAATTTATTCCGAAACGTTGCGAGCGGAGCGAACAATATGCACATTTTCCGTATTACTCGACCGTTCCTCAACTAATATCGGACCTGGGACTTTTTTATTTAACGACCAAACCAATAAAAAAGTAACTCATTCGCGCCATCCAACAACCCCTATCAACAGCGATTTTTACTCATTTCCTTTTTTCGTATTAAGGCGACGAACGCACGCCCTTAGTTGAAATATGTTCGAGTACGTATAAAAAGTCGTCCGTACCAACCAAATCACGACGAGTTTCATTCTTTCTTATATATTACTTACAGCAAATATTATCTCTCGATTACATAGGACTGAATACCAATCACCAATGAATTCTTTATTATATTGACATTCTTTGCGTAATTAGTCAACAATACAAATTATTGTTGAACGTTGTAATTTATTTAAAAATATTAAATTGTATAAAAAGTCGTTTATTTTTTTTATATGACAAACGTTGACAGACTGAAAAAGGTACTAATGAGGTTTATGCCCAACTACCACAGGTTCAACACATGTTCAACACCACGACAAAATTTCTAAATGGCCACTAGACGAATACCCAGTTCTCAGCTTCCAACTAGGAAGTTAGACGATATTTATTTGGTATGGGCAACTAAGGTAACCGGAAATTGCTACCATGTTTAATAATATTGCAATCTTAGATAAAAGGTCACTGGAACCAAGGCACATATCCGCAAAACTGAGTCCTTTGGAGCTGACTCCGACTTTTCGAGACCTCCCAAGGAGCACATTTCATAAGCCTTAAAACTGTTATATCTATAAACAGTCTTAATATGGTATAGATTTAGATAATAGTTCTCTATAAATGGTTTTAGAAAAAAGAAATTGTTGTTATAACCTTATTTCACTCAAGTCAAAATTTTAACACCTTCTTAATACCAAACCACTTAATTAAGTGTAATCTCTCTTAAGATTTACTCTTATTGTCCTTATTTTAAGTTCATCTGTAGAACAACTGATTATTTTTAGTAAAATTGTTTTATACACATCCAGTAAAGTCTATTAATACTCTAAAAACTAGTGTTCTTAAGTTTATTCTAGATATATATAATTTATAGACATTCTATAGTGTTTGTAC